TTTTGAAAGACAGGTTATATAGCTAAACCAGGCTCAAACTCAGGAACCTCCTACCATAGCCTCCCAAGTGCTGAGATTACAGGAATGTACTATATGCCTTACATCATCCATGTTTACTGAGCATGCACTGACTCAGAGTAAATAGCTTTAAACTGATCCTTTTATAGCTAGTGCTGATCAATTATATAACAAAACTGATGTAGAAATAGCAACATCTAATGATATCCAAGGATTCAGAGCTTTAAATTTACATGGATACACATAATTGTTAGTTGTGGGGCTGGAGGTATAGCCCAGTGGTAGAATATGTGCTCTGCATTTGAGAGGCCCTGGGTTCCAATCCCCAGCATCAAATTGGGTTGGGGGGGGGGCAAGAAAGAAAGAGAAAAAAAAGAAGATATACCTCCTATAAGTAAAATTTGAACCTTGTACCTAGTAGATTACCTAACTACCTAAAACAGAAACCAGATGAATAGCAAACCTGCACATTTCCAGCAGAAATGTGACATTAACCAAGTAGCACAGCTCCAGTGAGAGGTGAACATGCTCAAGCCACTGAGCCCACTTACCTCTCTAGCCAGTCTGAATCTAATTGGATCACACAGTGCTATACTTAAGAAGAGCCAGGTGTAGTAGTACACACAGATATTCACCACTACTCTATCTAGATGATGAATCAGTTGGACAAAGAGTTGGAGAGATGAGCCTGGGTACATAATGAGACTACAAACTATAAACAACCTTGAAAGAATTAGAGAAATTAAGAGAATAAAAGAGAATTAAATTAGAGAAATTAGAAATTAAAGAATTAGAGAAATCACTGAGAATTATACAGCCAACAGTGTAATCATTCTTAACAGATTGGTTTTTCCATTTCTGCCCATTTGTATGCTTATAGATACACATTCACTTAAAAAATGAAGAGAAATTAAATACACAGTATTCTAAAAGGATACTTGCAAACAGGGTGTGGTGCCACACTCCTGTAATCCTTATACTCGGGGTTGAATCAGCAAGAATTAAAAGGTTAGTCTGGAATATATCATTGTTTTCATATATTCTTCACTATTTCTTAAAATTAAGAACCTGGAATCCTAGCATTTTGGGAAGTGGAGGGTCAGGAGTTTAATGTCATCATTAACTATATAGTGAGTTTAAGGCTACCTTGGGTTACACAAGATCCTGCCTCAACCCTGGCAAAATGCACTTTTAGGTGATCCATATGTCATTAAAGCACATTTAATAGCTTCTCTATATGGCCTATTAATTTTACTTATAGGTTTAGATGAATTTTAAGTATCTAGATTCTAGGTTCTAAAATATTCTTCCTAGTATTTTAAACTTACTTCTTCCAAGTCCTCCTGTATCAGCACGAACTTCACTCACCCTTCTGGGAGTCAGAGGACAGCCAGGAATATAAATTTCATCTGTTCTTTCCAGGTTCTGAGGTGGCATGACCTATAAAGAATTGTTGGCATAAAATCATAATAGCCAAAATGCATTTTCATTAGAAATATAGTAATAAGACAAAATAAAACAATTTTGAGTGATTATTCCTTATTAAAATTACTAAAGCTAAAAAATTCCCAGTCTTAAAAAAAATTCCACACCTGATAACAGACTACTACTATGTCTGAATCAGCTTCCATTACTGAGTTAGAGAGAATAGCGGCCAGTCTAAGGCATGAAACTTGATCAGGGGATCAAGAAAACACTGTGTCACAGAAACCTTGACAATCACAAAGTATTCATGATTCTTGTTTCCTGTTTGATACAGGAGTAAAACAACCATACTGCTAACCTCCCACTCCTAAAGGGAAGACTCCAAGTTTAACTGATCTCTGGTGGAAGGGGATTACAAAAGGGATATTGATGTGCTTTTGTTAGGATATTTTCACAAACCTCTTCACAGGTAGGAACTCTGTTTTCATTATCTCTAATTTTATCCCAGAGTGGGGACTCTGGTTTCCATGCCAAATGATCTAAGATTTGTTCTTCAATCTGATTGAGGTGTTTTACCACTTCTCTACAAAGACCGTCTTCTGCTCTAATGAATACTTCTATCACCTGAAATAAAGAAATATGCCCTGATTTATTTAATAGTAATCACTATGGCTTTGCACACAAAATCTTTTGAGTATAGAAGCAAAATGGAAACATCTATTTAAATGTGTTCAAAATATTTTTCAGAAAAAATTGACCAGAAGTTACTAGTGAAGCTACTTGAAACAAGCTGTTCTTCCCTTCACTGCCTTTGCAAATAATTAATCTACATATGTGAATTATCAAAATTTTCATATTAAAGGGCTGGATGTGTATTTGAGAGGTAGACTGTATGCTTAATATGCACAAGATCACAAGCATACTTTCCAGCGTCAGAAAACCCCCCACAAAATTATTAAAACTCACATTAAAATCTAAACATGAGGAGGGTGTGGAAGGTCATGCTTGTAATCTCAGCACTCTAGAGGCTGAAGATCAAGACCAGGCTGGACCACAGTAAGACCAATATCTCAAAATACAAACAAACAAGCCAGAATCCAAACCAAACAACAAAAATGACCTTTGGGGCTAGAAAGATGGCTCAGTGATTAAGAGCACTGGATGCTCTTAGCGAGGACCAGAATTCAGTTTCCAGCACCCACATGGTGGCCCACAACTGCTTTTAACTCCAGTTCTAGGGGACCAAGTACCCTCTTCTAGCCTCCTCAGGCATCAGGAATGCAAGTGGTACACTTGCATATATACATGCAAACAAAATATTCATACACATAAATTTAAAAATAAAGACTTTTAAAAATGACCCACTATCATATAAATACTATAGAAATTAGTTCTGATCACAATGCTATCAAGAAGGAAACAATATAATAATTAACTCTCTAATTATGTTGATAGATAGAAGGTTGAAACAGCAGGATGATCATGAGTTCAAGTTCAGCCTGGATTACAAAGTGTCTCAAAATATAAAGGCCGGGGATGCAGCTCAGTTTAGAGTGTGCTTGCCTAATATGCATAAAGCCCTGGATACAATCCCTAGCACCCAATAAAACTGAGTATAATTGGGGCATGCCTGTAATCCCAGCACTCAGGAAGTGGAGGCAGAAGAATCAGTAGTCATTCTCACAAATTTGAGGCCATCCTGGGCTAGCTACATGATACCCTGCCTAAAAATAAATAAACAGGGTGATAGAGAACTTATGTTTCCCTAAAAGATGTGTGCACTGTTATTTAACTTTCATAAAATAAAGAAGGCTGCTATAGAGGACTAGTGGCACATATGCCACTTTCTAAAGCCCTTTTCTTATCCCTGTCTCCTTTCCCCACTTGCTCTTTTCTTCCCCCCTCCCTGCCTCTACTCTTTGCTTCCTTTCTGAACAAGGCTATAGCCCAGGTCGAACTTGTAGTCCTCTGCCTATGCTCCCCAGGTGCGGAGACAGGTGTGCACCACCGCATTTGGTTCTTCCTTAGCTCTTAAATCATATTACTCGACAACCCTTTAAGAGATAATGGAAGAAATCAAATGAAAGTCTTATCCAAAAGACATCTGTCAAACTACTGTATACTGAAAGAATTTTTATAGGTCTCAAGACTCTCTTTGTTCCCTAAATAGAGGATTATTATTAAATGTGCAATTTACAATAAGATAAATGTATTTATATGTTAATGTGAACTAGATGGATAACAACAGGTTGGTCACATTCACATCATCAGTCTATTTTTTAAATACCTTATAAAAATGATAAAGTGGTACATCAAATATTTCAGCAATAAGTGGAAAATTCCCAGGAGGCTTATAAGAAAAAGTGACAACCTCAAGGCAGCAGGCCAAAAGTGATCTATGGAATGCATCTTGCTCCAGAATACCCTATAAAACAAAGTAACATGTAGAAGCATTAGTCTGCTCTGAAAAAAAAATTTCATATCCAGTCAGTTTAAATAAGCTCATCTTAAATTTAAATAGAAGTTAAAGGAATATACAAAAACTTTCAAAAATCTTAAATGTTATGAAATAGCTAAAAAAGAGATTACCTCTTTAAATAACTACAACCACGGCATCATGCTGAGGATAATGATGTGGAAAGATGTTAGAAAGCTGGGACTAGGCAAGTATTTGAGTGGCTTCCGTAGACTAGTTGTGTGTTTTTATTTTTAAACCTGTGAGTTACTTAGAATAAAGTGATTTAAAAATTTTTTAAATTTTAATTTAATTTTGTTTTTCTGAGACAGGGTCTCACTATGTAGTTCAGGCTGGCCTTGAACTCAGAGATCCTCCTGCCTCTGCTTCCCAAGTGCTGGGATTAAAGGCATGCACCACTACAACCAGCCTATTTAACTGAAGAAGTCACTTCCATAAAAAGAGGGGTGAGGGCTGGCAAGATGGCTCAGTGGGCAAAGTGCTTGCCTCCAAGCCTCAGGACCCATGTGGTGGAAGGAGAGAAATGACTCCCAAAAGTTGTCCTTCTGACCTCCACACATGCATCATGACATGTGCATACACGCACACAGACACACAGACACAGACACAGACACAGACACAGACACACACACACACACACACACACACACACACATAAATAAAAAAATAAAAGTTAAAAAAATTTAAAGAGAGATAGAAGGCAAGGGAGCAGGTGACTGAGTAGTTGAGTTTGTATCAAAATTCAGCATGTTCAGTGTAGGATAATACAATCATGGATGAGTTTAATTTTCTTCTTTTCGCTTACTATCCAAAATTATACATAAACACTATTTTGAATTTAAAAATTCCTCAGGCAACAAGAAAATATGGACAAATTAGACTAAATTAAAAACTGTGCCTTAAAAGAAACTACCATATGGGAAAAGAAGATCCACAGAAAGGGAAAAAAATACTTATAAATCATATATTTGATAAAGAATTAATGTCCAAAATATATGAAAAATAATAAAACCCTACAATCTTAAAAAAAAAAAAAGCAAACAAACCAATTTAAAAAATTTAAAGACCTGAATGGACATTTCCCCAAAGATTATATACAAAGGGCCAATTAAGAGAGGAAAGGGTACTCAGTATCACTAGTCACTGGGGTGCAAACCAAAAGTACTGTAAGATACCACTTCAGGGACTGGAGGGTTGGAGATGTCTCAAGTTAGTAAAGCACTTGTCCTGCAAGCACCAGTACCCAAATTCAGTCTCCAGAACCCAGCTAAAAATGCCAGCATGCCGGCCAGTATTTGTAATTTCAGCACTGGAAAGGCAAAAAAACAAGGACCCCTGAGGCTTGCTGGCCAGTTAGTTTAGCCTAACTAATGAACTCCAGGCCAGTGAAAGACCCTGTCTCAAACGAGGTGGACAGCATTCTTGAGAACGACACTCGAAGTTATTGTTGGGCTCCCACATGAGTGTGTGCATGTACACCACACACACACATACACATACACACGCACACACACACACATACACACTCTTTAAAAAAAGATATCATTTCATACCCTTTGAGATGGATATTATTTTAAAAATGAAAAACAGCAAATATTTTAAGGGTGAGAACCCTGAAATCCTAGGTATTGCTGGTGGGAATGTAAAACAGTATTGTTGCTATGGAAAACAGTGTGGTAGCATCTCAAAACATTAAATAAAAAATTATTACATGGAGTTGGGAATGTAGGTCTGTGAAAGAATACTTGCCTAACATATATGAGATCCTGGGTTCAAGCTCCAGCTCCACAAAGCAAACAGAACATTATGGTATGATTTACCAAATCTAATTCTAGGTGTAAAGAACCCAAAAGAACTGAAAGCAAGAACTTAAAACAGATACTTGTACACCAGAATTCACAGCAGCATTATTCACAACAGCCAAAAGGTAGAGATTTTTTTCTATGAACAAATTAATAGGTAATCAATGTTTAAACAAAAATAAAAAAGTGAAAGTTGCGAAACTTGCTAGAACAAAAAGATAAACCCTATAAAGTGAAATAACTCAAACAGAAAAGGGCAAATATGTTTCCATCTGATACTCAGAATAGGTAAATTCATAAAAAACTGGAAGACAAGCCAGGCATAGTGGCACACACCTTTAATCCCAGCACTTGGGAGGCGGAGGCAGAGGCAGGCGGATCTCTGTGAGTTCTAGACAGGCCTGGTCTACATAGTGAGCTCCAGGACAGCTGGAGCTACAGGGAGACCCTGTCTCAAAAAGACCGGAAAAAAAAAAAAAAAACAAAAAAAAACAAACCCTGGACGACAGATAGACATACAGGGCTGGAGAGAACAGTGAATGCTGAATTAATGTTTAATGGATATGGACTCACTTGGGAAGTGAAAAAATTCTGAAGGTAGAGGATGGTAACGGTTACCAAGCACTACCAATGGTTAATGTACTTGGTATTGTACTGTACTTTGAATTGTAAACTTAAAGATGATTAAAATATACTTTTGCTAAGCTTATTTTGCCACAATGAAATATTTAAACAGATTACATAATACAGGTTTCTACTTACATACTTTCACCATGTAGATGCCCAGAATCAAACTCAGGTCATCAGGTTTGGCAGAAGACACCTTTACTTGCTGAACAATCTCACTAACCCATGAGACTTTACTTT